TCCTATATCAATATGAGATCATGGCGGCTTTTGTCACTTTCAAGCGTAACTAAACCTTCCATGGTCATCGCACCAATATATTCAATGACATAGATCAAGTATGGATGAGTGGCATGGAAATTACATGCAATGTGATCTTACCATGCCTATTTCCAACTGGTCCTACTTTAATCTTTATGAGATCAATCCTAAATTTTCTGCATACACAAAGCAGAAACACAAGCACAAAATTTAATACATTCAGAGGGAAAATAACATTGAATTCTTTATTCTAAGAAAATTTAATCTTCATAGACCACTAACATAAAGACCTCCCACTAAACCGTAGTGTCATCGAACAAAACAACACCCATATGAGTTGTATGCTCGTGAAAGACCTTAGGCACTAAGCCTTTAGTAAGCGGATCCGCAAGCATGGAGTTCGTCCTTATGTGTTCTATGGAAATCTGACCACTCTGAACTCTTTCTTTAACAACCAGAAACTTTATATCGATGTGCTTCGATTTTGAAGAGCTTCTGTTGTTGTTGGAGTACAACACTGCTGACCTGTTGTCACAATAAATCTTCAGTGGCCTTTTAACACCACTCACTATATGCAGCCCTGTGACAAAGTTTCGCAGCCATACCCCAAGGTTGGATGCCTCAAAACAAGCTACAAATTCAGCGGCCATAGTAGAGGAAGCTACGAGTGTCTGTTTAACACTCTTCCAAGAAATAGCTCCTCCAGCCAACATGTAGACATAACCTGACGTAGATCTTTTACTATCTTGGCATCCAGCAAAATCAGAGTCAGTATATCCGACGATCTCTAATTCATATGACCTCCGATATGTAAGCATATAATCTTTAGTTCTCTTTAAATACCGCATAACCCTCTTGGCTGCTTTCCAATGATCCATTCCAGGATTGCTCAAGTATCTTCCTAACACTCCCACTATAAATGCTATATCAGGGCGAGTACAAACCTGGGCATACATAAGGCTTCCTACTGCCGAAGCATAAGGTACCTTTGTCATTTCTATCATCTCAAGCTTACCTTTAGGGCATTGGGAAAGACTAAACTTGTCTCCCCTAGATATGGGCGTATCTCCTGACGTACAATCCTTCATGCCAAATCTATCCAAAATCTTTTCAATGTAGGCCTTTTGTGATAACCGTAGGATACCTTGAGCGCGATCTCGAAGTATCTGTATTCCTAAGACAAAAGATGCATCACCAAGGTCCTTCATCTCAAAATCTTTAGTGAGAAGTTTTTTGGTTTCATGCAATAAGCCTATATCGCTACTGGCAAGTAAGATATCATCAACATATAGTATCAGGAATATGAATTTACTCCCACTGAACTTGTGATACACACAATCATCCACTAAGTTCACCTCAAAGCCATAGGAGATAATAACCTGATGGAATTTGTGGTACCATTGACGAGAAGCTTGCTTAAGGCCATAGATGGACTTTTTCAATTTGCAAACCATAGACTTTGAATCTCCCAATACAAAGTTTTCTGGTTGCACCATATAAATTGTCTCATCAATGTTGCCATTGAGAAACGCTGTCTTTACGTCTATCTGATGTAGCTCCAAATCCAAATGAGCCACAAGCGTCATTATTGTCCTAAAGGAGTCCTTCGTAGAAACCGGAGAGAAAGTCTCTTTATTTTTTGGTTTTAAATATCCATTTACAACCAATGGGTTTCGCACCTTTAGGAAACTCAATAAGATCCCAAACGTCGTTGTCTTTCATAGATTGCATCTCATCTTTCATGGCATCAATCCATTTATGAGCATTAGAGCTTTCTAAGACTTGTTGGAAGTTGATTGGATCATCTTCCTTCAAGCTTAAAATATTTTCATGCTCTTGAAGAAACACAATATAATCATCCGGAATTGCATTTCTCCTTTCCCTAGTGGATCTCCTTAATGGCACTTCTTGAGTTTGTTGAGTTTGTTCTATAGGTGGCATAGGGGGTGATTCATTATTGTCTTGACCCAAAACAATGTCAGGGACCAAAGCCTGTTCCATAACAATGTCATGAACAGGGACCTGATCATTAATTGCTTGTTCCGTAATCGCATCTTGAATGATGACAATATTAGGAAGATAAATATTATTTTCTTCCTCATCAAAGACAACATTCTTTATTTTATCTTCCCCCAAACTCAACATCCTCAAGGAATCTGGCATTTCCCGTCTCCAAAAAAGGATCTTGTAGTGGGATTATAAAACTTAAAGCCCCGAGAGCGTTCAACATATCCAACAAAATAGCAGCTGATTGTTCTTGAGTCCAACTTTCTTTCATTTGGCCTATAAGGCCTTGCTTTTGCTGGACAACCCCAAATGTGTAAATGCCTTATGCTAGGTTTCTTTCCATTCCATAGCTCATAAGGGGTTTTTGCCACTGCTTTGCTGGGAACCCTATTAAGGATATAAACTACAGTCTTTAGTGCTTCTCCCCAAAGTGATTATGGCAATGAAGAATGACTAAGCGTACTCATCACCATGTCTTTAAGAGTCCGGTTTCGCCTTTCCGCAACACCATTCATGCTAGGTTTACCTGGCATTGTGTATTGCGGGATGATTCCACACTCCTTTAGGAAGATCGCAAAGGGCCCTGGACGTTGTTCACCTGATCCATCAGATCTACCATAGTATTCACCACCACGATCAGATCTAATGGCCTTAATTTTCTTGCCTAACTGAAGTTCAACTTCAGCTTTAAATTCTTTGAACACATCCAATGATTGTGACTTCTCTCTAATCAAATATAGGTATCCAAATCTTGAATAGTCGTCTATGAATGTGATAAAGTATTGTTGACCATTCCAAGAGGCTATAGGAAATGGTCCACAAATATCCGTATGAATCAATTCTAAGACGTATGAAGCTCTGTTGGAACCTATTTTCCTTATGTTTGTCTGTTTCTCCTTTATGCATTCAATGCACACCTCAAAATCATCCAAATCAAGGGGTTCAAGAATTCCATCAGTCACAAGCCTCTGAATTCTCTGTTTAGAGATATTACCTAAACGCTTGTGCCACAGAACCAGTACCAACAAACTAAAGTGAGAGTCGTACCCTTCCTTCCGCGCCATGCCTTGTATTTGGAACACTCTTTCTTCATGTGTCCAGATATCTTACAAAAGAAGCAAGTGAATTTCTGGTCCTGCTTCTTTTGCTTCTTTGGCAAAGCATCTGCATTATCCTTAGCTCTCTTTCTTTTCTTGTCTTGAGAGGTTGATGCCAAGTGAGCACTATCAGTCTTCTCTCGCTGTAACCTCTCTTCCTCTTGCACACAGTGAGAAATGAGCTCATTAAGAGTCCATTTTTCCTTTTTGAGTGTTATAACTCACCACAAATTGACCGTATTGTGCAGGAAGAGAAATAATAACTAAGTACATGAGCAACTCAGAGGGCAGCTCTAACTTTAATGCCTTTAGTTTTCCAGCAAGATTAGACATTTCCATAATGTACTCCCTTATGTTTCCCTTTCCTTTATACCTCATGTTTATGAGTTTGGACAAGGTTTGACCAATTTTAGCCTTTTCATTTCGAGCAAAGTATTGCTCGAGTTCCTTCAGAAACAACTTGGCATCAATAGTCTCAACAATCGAGCCCCTAAACGCCTCCGGAATGGAACGTTTCATGATCATCAAACACATGCGATTTGAGCGTTCCCACTTCTCAATTTTATCCGTGTTTGGATTTTCCTGAGTGGAAGTGGGTTTCTCAGTCCTTAGCGCATTGTCGAGATCCATGCAGCCGAGAACAATTTCCACATTCTCTTTCCACAGCTTGAAATTTGCCCCATTAAGCATTGGAAGCGAATTCACTTGAGCAACATAATTGGCAGCGGTAGCAGAAACTATACAGAGAACCAAAAAAGATAACATACTAATAACATGTCATATCATATATATTCATACACGATATAGACAAATAATCCGAAGTAAAATGAATTTATTATAAGATATCTAGCACAACATTAATATTTAGTCTGTGGACAAAAATATCAACTTGTAAGTGGTACTCTTAATGTAGTAATCAAACATTGACAATAAGTCCTGTCAAATCATAGCCTTCCTGTGGGCCGACTATGAATTACATGGAGAATTCTTGATAATTGTCACATATTTATTACCACAGGTATGTTTGTTACTTGGCCAAATAATAACCTTCTTGTGGGCCGATCACTATTCGCATAAGCAATAAACACACACATGATCACACAACATATGTTATTTGGCCAAACAATAACCTTCCTGTGGGCCGATTAATATTTGCATAAATAAAATATATTTATATGACGAACTTATTTGAAATCAAATTAACCTTTTATAAATTTGGCCACTGTGGCGGCTAACAAATCTATCATATTTAATTTCAAATAGAAACCTTTAGGGATAATAAACTCATTTAAAACCAAAATAACAACAATAAAGAAAATTATTCTTTATCAATCCTCAATGTATATACATACATACTTTATCCTTATACCATTAACAATAAATACCTATTCATTATAAGGCTTAAAAAAATGATGCACAAACAACGCACATGTAAGCCTTTTCAAATGAAAGCTTGAAAATGATGCATAATATCCAAAAAAAAAAATTATATTTAGCTTTTAACAAAGAATATCAAATATAAGGAAAACCCCAAAACCAAAGACCTTAAACATTTGATTTCTTTCAAATCACAAGTCCAAAATTTTCTAAGAGAATTCATTGTTTATTCAAAAAATTCAAACAATAAAACCTCATCGATTATAAAGCCAAAATTCTTCCAAACATTCCATCTATTCACAGATTCAAAATTTAAATAATAAACCTTTATTAAACTGTGAATCCTAGTTTTTTCTAAAAAAAAGTAGCTTTTGTTCCAAAACCAAAAAATCACTGTCAGCGAACAAAAATAACACTACATAGCTAATACAAAATACATAAGATGGAACCCACGTTCAAAAAATAATAAACTTTATGCCAAAAGACAATAAAGCAAAAACTTTTCATGATTAATCATATATAAAAATCACAAAACTTAATTCCCTCATAATTCAATATGATGATGGCTCTGATACCAATTGTTGGAATTTTTAATTCCTCTAAACTTTATGGTGATAACTATCACCCACAAGCCAAGATCCATCATACCAAATCATAAAGAAAAATAAGAACAACATAAAGGTGGAGGAATACCTATCTCCATTGCAGCGGAATAACTTTGATCTTGTCTCTTGGAGTTTGTAGTCTTTCTCAGTCAAATCACCCTAAAACCTTATTCCTTAGTGTGTCGTCTCTCTCTTGATGGGGAAGAGAAACTAGGGTTATATATTTGACGTATTGGGGACCATAACCCTTATATAGTGTTTTTATCTTTATTGTTGGGCCAATAAGATCTCATTATACCTAGTTGGCCCAACACCGGTATCCACTCATTAAGCCCATACTCACTTAGGAATCTATTTGGAAATATTTAACTGATCACTTTAATTTACCCAATATATATAAATAACACAATATAATTATTAATATAATATGTGACCCACAATAATTATTAGAAAATATAATTTCTTAACAGTCTCTTGTTGGTTTAATTTTGTACATGTTTGACATTATTAATTTTACATATGGAAAATAAGAAAGGGTTATTATTTAATGTACTGTGCAACACTTAAAATCACCCCCGAAAAAATACAAATTTGTTTATACTCATTACTATGGTTATAAAAATATATCACATAGATCCCTTGTCGACTTATATATATATAATTTTTTTCTCAGCTTTTACCTTATATTATTATCATACTATAAATAAAAACTATGTACCTAAAAATATAAGTTATTTAATTGTAAATTAAAAAATTTCAATTAATAATATCAATTATATCCATACAATTTTGTACATATAATTCTTTTTCCTCTTTTTTATTTTATATCCTCATCTAATGCATTTAAGGCAAATAAATTTTAAAAAATTAACTTATTTTTATCATGAAAATAAATTCAAATCATATATTATTTTATTTTATCTATTTTTTAACCGATATCGCTATAAAATTATTTAAAGAAAATAAATAGCTTATTTTGATAAGGGATACGATATTGTGACAACCAAATAATGTTACTACCAATGTTACTACCGCATCTTGTGCGTCAGTCACATCAGAAGCATTCAGTAAAAGAATAGATATTCCATTAATATCCATTTAGTATCAAAGGAATTTCTTAATTCTATAATCTTGATCGTAAATCATTCTCATAACTAATATTAATAAGTTCATCAAATCCACAAAGTCAAAGTTAACAGATAAAACAAAAGAATAGAAAATATTTATAAGAAAGTATTTGGATAGAGTAACGACACTTCACAACTTTTAAAGAAATAACTTTAAAATACCAACTTTACATATAAAATGAAAGAAAGAATGAAATTAGGAGAATGAGTTTCTCTCCCAATATTACATTCTTATTTTATTTCCCCCACTGTTTTCTTCTCTTTCTCTTTCTCCTTTATTTTCTTTTCCATGGGTTACTCACTGTTAGACATTCTCTCTCTCTCTCTCTCTGTCTTTCTTTCTTTTCTTCTTTATCTTACTGTTTTCTTTTCTTTCCTCTCTTTTTCCTTCTTTTCTTTTCTTTTCTTTTCTCTGCTTATGCGCTTTCTCTTTTCTGTTTTTCTTTCTCTCGTCATACACTCTTGATTAGTGTATGACCGGTCAGACATAGTGTAGTTCGTAAACAAAATATTTGTAAATATAACATTTCCCATACATGTATATACAAGTCACATGCTAATCTCTTTTAAAATATCTAACTCAATCTTATTCGAATCTAAAAAATCAAAGACCTTTACCTAGTTACTTTTGTGTGCCACACCTAATTTATTTCTTATACGTGGTATTTTGGCATTATTTTTCTTCTCACACCGAGCACCAATTAATTACACAGTTTCAAGCGCTGGCACAAGGCACAACTTGGTGCTTTTTGCGCCAAACTTTATTTATGGTGCTTTTTGCACCAACCATAGACACATGGACATGGTGGCGCTTTAGGCTCCACTTTTGATTTTTTTTTTTACTATTCATTTTTTATTTTATTTTATCTTTTTTATATTACACCGGTTGATAGAGGGATAAATTTTAGATTCCCAGGAAACTCAGATTGGGAATTCTAGTTACCTATGTTTGGTATAAAGATTCTTAAAATTTTCTTGGAAAGTAAAATGGTGAATAAAATCCTATGAAATAATATCACCAAGTGGATGGTATTCTTGGATTTCTCCTTGGGGGGAAATTTTTTCATAATTTATAGGACATAACTCTGCTTTAATATTATCATGACTAAAATACTATCTCTTGTTAAAGCCTAGTCGTGATACTCTGCTCCACAAAATCATACGTTCCTCTTCACATAACGCGATACGTCACGTTTTGACCCTTTTGTGGCATATCAAAAAAAAATTCAAAAATTCATCAAAAGTTAGTTTTGTAAAAGCAGCCCACATTCCCATGAGTCATTGACAATCAACCAAACATAGAATCAAGAAGCTTGAGTCAACATTTCTCGCCATATTTTGGTCTACCAAATAGCTTTTTGGTAACATTCTTGGGAAATTCACTTTCCAAGCATATTCCCAAGAATCGTGATTCTCATGAATAAAAAATTTCTCCTCTATCGAACGCTCCCTGAGATTAATGTTTAGGGGTGGAAATTAGGGTCAACACGACACGACCCGAATACACTCAACTAGAACACGACACAAATTTAAAATTGGGATAAAACCTTTTACCTGAACACAACGTTCTTTTTTTCGCGGGTTGACAAAACACGATACGAATAACTTGCAAACTCAAAGTGTACCGTTTATTATGCGAATTGACCTGACATGAATAACCTGTAAATCCTAAATTATGTTACTAATTATGTGGGTAACGATATGGTATGACATGAATAAATTATGTAAGTGTTGCAAAAAAAAAAATTCTTCAACAAAAGCAGAAATATTAAACCCAATATATGGGAAGGGTTCTTCTGACTCCAGAATAAGACTTATAAGTCTTACTCCTCATCTTAGCCATTGATGAGCGGAAATCAATGGTTGTCATTTATAGTGTAATTAATAATTAATTAATTAATATAACTTCCTAAACTATAACCGTTGGATGGACGGAAATCAACGGCTAGGATGAGGAGTAAGACTTATAAGTCTTACTCTGGGGTCAATGATCTCTCTCCTATATATATATATGTAGAGAGAGAGAGAGAGAGATTTCTCAAGTCATTTAAGGTATCCTTATCTCCGGCCACCACAAAATTATGTCATTTTGGGTGTTAAGAGAATTAATGAAGGGTGTTTTGTTATTTTTGTTTGTTTATTTATGTTTTTAACTTGTGAATGATAGTTTTGTTTATTTTGGACTCCCCCTAGAAGTTGTTTTTTGGTGGGCCTGAAGTAAAATAGAAAAGGGGAAGGATTGAGAGGGAAAATCAAAAAAGAAGAGATAGAAATGAAATAAAATTTTCTATTTATGGGAAAGAGACCATTAAATAAGTGGTGGGCCTAGAGCATATAATAAATCCCCCCAGGCGATATAATAATGTTATCATAATATATATATTAAATTTGTCTGGTGATTAAATTTTTAAAAGGAAACCTGAGCTAATCATTTTTTATGTAATCGTTTAATCGAGAGTAATTTAACAGATGAAAATTAAGAATACTTTATGTAACAATGAAATGCTACAACAATTTTTTATCGGAGTGGGAAGACCGCGAGCTCGGGTGATTCAATAGTTTTCTGTTTCTATTTTGGTGTTTTGTCTATGTTTTGTTTGTTTTTGTTTTCTAGACTCTTGCCCTGTTGGCTATAAAAAAAAAAATTTGTCTCTACAATATTTACTTGCGTAATAGTTCTTTTTCCTATTAATTTGTGGTGCAATAGTTTTGAAAAATCAATTAATTGATTACGAGTATCGTAGTGTGTTTTGTCAATTTTGTCTCCGACCAACCATGATCCCTCACGTTGTTGGAACGTCATTGGATTTCCAGCAAACAGATTTGGTGGACGGGGACGTGGAAGGGGACGATCAGGAGGACGACATCAACAAGCTCATGCCATGCAGACTTGGGAAAGCTCTCAACCAGCCGTAGCATCCTATCAAGGTGATGCACTTCAACAAGATGCTGCAGCAGCTTCTTACCAGAATAATGCGCCTCCGCAGGTCACAGCGAATTCAATGTTGACACCTGAAATTATGAACAAGCTCATTGCCTTGGTTGAACAGCCATCCAATGATAAATTGTCTGGTAAGATTACACACTTTCAATGGCTTATTGATAGCGGAGCCTCCCGCCACATGACGGGATCCTTGAATTTGTTGACTGAAATAAGAAAGATTAATCCTTTGTCCGTCACTTTACCAAACGGATCTGTTACTCGTGCAGAAAAGGAAGGAACAATGATGTTTAATGCACAATTCAAACTATCCAATGTGTTATATGTTCCCCAATTGAGATGCAATCTGATTTCTGTTTCACAGCTATTGCGAAATAATAGCAGGATGGTAACCTTTACTGATAAAAATTGCCTTTTGCAGGACCAAATACTGAAGAGGGAGATTGGTTTGGGTGAGCTCAAGGAAGGAGTGTATGTGTTTCAGCCCAAGCATGCTTCGGCTTCAGCAGTTCGAGCAGAAGAATCTATGGAGTTGTGGCATAGTAGACTAGGTCATGCATCTTATGATATGTTGTCTTTGATTCCAGGAATTAATATTTCGTTGAATAAAAATGTTACTGGTGCGGCATGTGATGTTTACCAATGTGCCAAACAAACTCGATCTGTGTTTCCTTTGAGTACTTCACGCAGTAAAGAAAGTTTTTATTTGGTTCATTGTGATACTTGGGGACCCTACAAGTCTCCTTCCTCTTCGGGTGCTTACTATTTCTTAACTATTGTCGATGATTTTAGCAGAAGTGTGTAGGTATATATGATGGCCGAGAAAAGTGAAACTTATGATCGAATGTGTAAATTTATGGCTATGGTGCAGAATCAGTTTGGGAAAAATGTCAAAATAATTCGTTCTGATAATGGAACTGAATTTAAGTCTAATAAAATGATGCAACTCTTGAGTGAAAAAGGCATTTTACAGCAAACAACGTGTGTACATACTCCCGAACAAAATGGACGCGTAGAGAGGAGACATAGA